ACACATTTAAATCTGCCCAAATTTTGAATGTCAAAGAACAACCAAAAATGCTTATCTGATTGCTCATCTTTCAGTTCAGTACTCATTAAGTTTAACTACAAGCAGTGCAGCTGTGACATGAAGATTTCCTGCCATTTAAACTTACTGTGCCTTAGAGAAATGTACCTTCACTTTCTTTTTTTACTGTTTACTTAATAGTTTTGACCTTTTAGCCAATTGTCCTTATCCATCATTATAGTGCATGATCAATCATTTTGTGCCTTGTCATCTACAAAATATTAGCAAGAAGGAAAAGTTTTATATTTCTTTGCCTTTCTTGAGATTTTATTGGATTATCTTCATGTCTACTAGCAGGAAAAAAAAAATTACTTTAGTTTACACTGGTTTAAATTCATTCTTTCTTGAATACAAATGGAAGGAGTTCAGTGGAAGTTTAATTTGTTAATTTTAATTGGTATTTGTGGTCAATATTTAAAATTCACCAAACAGTGTGCTTGTGAATCACTATCTTCCTTGTGTATTGTTGAGCAATAAACAGAGGTTAAAATAACCCATGGAAACATGAGCCTGTGCACACACCTTACACATATGTATGAATGTGCTAAGGATGGTTCTTCAGTTAAACCAGGGCTGCAGGTTTCTGAAGATAAAGATCACCTTCATCACAACTACCTTGAGCAAAGATGAAATGTTCAGGAACTTAAAATTTACAAAAATAAAGCCTCACTTTAACAGGACTTGTCTAGATCACAGAACAGTGCAAAGATTGTGAGCTAGGAAGGTCACTGTAATAAAGAGTGACAATGCAAAAGTTTCTGATTAAGATCTGAAAACAGTCTGCTCTTACCAAAATGCTTTTCTCTATTCAGTATAGCATTGTTTAAACGCCTCCAATGTTTCTGTTCCCAGGAGTAGCATGTGAACAGCTTCCCAGAGGAGCCCTCTGTTGTGTTCCAGTGAATAGTATATACAGTTACTGGAACACAGTACAATATTGCTTGTGATGAGGGTTAAGTGATTGCTATGTTCAAAAGGGCAGAGTATTCCTCAAGTCATTCTCTTAATTTGGTGAGTGCTTGGAGAAATCATGTTTTTTATGTATTTGTTCTCCTTTTCCTGATAATAAACCAGAGGTAACAGCACTTCTCAACTTCCCGTGGGATATAGATGAAGATCAGGAAACAATGCATAAAGATGTTTGTAGCTAATGCATGGTGACCTGGTAATGGGGGCACCTGAAGTACTTTTATACCACTTCAGCAAAAAACATTCATTTGCATCCATAAAGTCTAAAGTATCGTGTCTATGTTTAAATATATCTTAGATCTTTTTTTATTGGTCTATGTTCTTTTTTGCTTTATTCCTAGAAAGGGTTGCTTTGTGTTGATGTGTCATGGAGGTAGTTAGGTAAACAAGAGGGAATGAGAGAATGTGGGGGAATACATATCAGATGAAGTAAGAGGGAGACCAAGCATGTAACAAACCTTGAGCATGCATTATTTGTACAATTATTTGGCATTCCTTCTTAACTGCAACATGTCAGTCCCCACAGTACCCGTTAGCAGCAAGCATGCCATTCATTATACAAACCTTTGAAGCATTCCAATTTTATTTGGGATAATTGGGGTTGTTCTAACAACAGTTTTTCTGTGATCCTAACGCAGAGCATGAAATTGATAATATAAAGGAAGGTGAAGATACAAACATACTACTAAGTTTTGGGGCTTGTAAGGCAAGTTTTGAACAGGTCTAGTTGTAATTCTTTAAAATATACATATGTCCCTTTGATGTTGGATCGAAGTAGGAGCCAGACATAATACTAGCAACTTAGTGGCTTCAGTGGTGAACGGCAACTGAGTGGTACAGAAACAGGGGAGCATGCTTTGAAGTGCTTGATATTACACAGGAAAATATGCACTTCAATAAGAATGTACCATGTGCAAGAGGCTGCTGTTGAGATGAGCTTTAAAGTCAAAAGAAGGGCAGGAGCAGGAAAGTTCATGTTCAGGTTTGTATCTGAACCTTCTTGAAGCTTGTGGGGATATTCATTTCCTCAGTCAGCACAACTGATAGAAAGAAGCAAATTTGAAGTTGAGGTCCAAATCGAAACTTTCAGGGTTGATGGATCTGCGTTTTCAGTTCCAGTCTGGTTTTGATCTCTAATACCTTTGCACTTCAGCAGCTTTTCAACAGTGTAGTTCAAAGGGCTCTATAAAAATGGAAGGAAGAACTATATAGTTAACCTTATTATTGCTGAATACAATCCATAGCACAAAGCTGTGTCTGGGGAGGTGGCTTGTGAATGGCCCCCCAGCCCTGCAGTGGTACAGATAGGAATACACCCCTATTGCTCTATTCAAAAGGGCAGAGTATTCCTAAAGTCATTCTCTTAATGAGGCAGCTTTTCTTCAGCTGATCATACTCTTATAATAATTTTGAATTAGATGTTTAATGCTTATTGAATGCAGGAAATAACTAATGCAGTTGGAGTGAATTCAGGATGTCCATTGTCCACTGATCAAAAATTGGCAACTTATCTTCTTTGCTTAGTATCAGAATGTTCATTCTATAGGAAACATCATTCTTCAAAGTACAGTTTAATTATTTCTGAACTCAAGTGCCTGATTCTCTATACAGTTGTGCAGTTGTGCTGTTATTTGCAGGACTACAGTATTACAAATGAGAATTGATCTTCATATCTTGGGGCAATAAGCCTTTTATACAGTTTTCACACATCCCAAGGCTTTATGCAGGGAGATGTCCAAAAATCTTGATATTCTTTTGTCTGGGGTGGGGGGAAGATCTCTCTAGTACAGTGCCTGTATTATTGAACAAAATTTGTTCTAGACAGTGTTCTTCCTATCTTCCTTTCTCTGATTCCGAAGGAACAGTAAGAATTCATAGTGATAGTGTCTACAGGTGTAGTGTTGCTAAACAAGTGCACTTTTCCTTACAACTAACACACTTCAACAACAACAACAATGAAAAAGCAAAGAAAGAAACCACCAACAACAAAAAAGCTCCTTTTGACCTTTAGATCATATCTGTGGCATATACTGTTGAGTTTGCCCTGCCAGCTGATGAATGTTGTAATGAGCCAGAGGTTGTGCATCTTTATTTTAATATCCCCTAAATGTTCACAACAAAATGTAGTGAAGGGTTAGACAAACTTGTCTAAGAGAGAAAAAAAAAAAAAAAATTACAAGCCAGTGAGTTCCACATCTTTATTTTGTGTAAACAGAAGGAAAACTTTTGTAAGATAACTTCATCAGTTTCTTTCAGCTAAATTGAAGAGCAGTGAACAAGCACTGCCTAGCCCCTTCATCTGCACCTCTTATGATTTTTTGTCTTCTGTTATGTCTTCCTTCACAAAGAATCAGAAGCTCTGCAATCTTTTTTACTCTTCATAGCCTTTCTAACATCAATATTATTACTAATTCTGCTATATACTTGTTGAGATTTAAAAATGCTATTCAGTCGAACTCTGAATAGCAGAAACTTGAAGCAAACAAAATGGTGCATTAAATTCATTTTAATAGGGAATTAGAGGGAAGTGAAGTGACTGTGAAGAATCCATTCAATCATCCTACTGCAGAACATTTCATATGCTTTGTAATACTACAATGTTCTCAAACAACATGGCTCCATGAAATCCTAGTTGGGCTTGGCTTTTGGCTCTTCCTAAATCCCTAGCCAACATCTCTCCTTAAACTAAAATCATTTGATTTTAATCATGATTTTCAATAGTTTCTTTGAAAGGGAGCTTAGAAACAACTGTAGCTATCGTAGCACCTAACTTCACTTTCTGTCTTTATATCACCATCTCTAACTTTATCTCTAGAGAGATTTACTTTCACTGTAAAGCCATTGGTATAGATGTACTGAAAATATGAGTTTGGTGAAAACAGAAGAATATGCACATGCATGCAGCTGAGAGAACTAGATTGGGGAAAAATAGTGACAGAAGATCTGAATGGTGCAGCTGAACTATGCCTGCTTGGCATAAGGAAAACAGATAAAAATAATTCCTTTCCCAAATTAGCTGTAACATCGCTCACTGCTACAAGCAGGAAAACTTTAACTCCTTTCTTGGTACATGCTGGGCAGTTTGGTTTCCTTGGATTTTTATTTTTTTCATCTATTGTCTGTTACAAATACCCAACAAGCAATACCCAACTCTATTTTCACAGACAATAGCTGGTCCAGCAGCTCTCTCTCCTTGTAGACTCCCTGGCCTTTGCTTACTCCTGTTTTCATCAGCACCACCTGTTCATGCTCAATGAGTCTTAACCGTCACCAAAGAGTTAACTTGCGTCTTTACACAAATAGAAGGATAAAAATTTCTAATGGGGTGAATGAGAAACAGTAATGATTTTCTCTTTGCAATCAGTTACTGTTTGTGCTTAGGCTGCAAAATTTACATCTCTTGTTAAGAAGGATTAGTTTCTTTCACTTCTTGTTTGGTTAAATTTTGTTTTCATGCACCAGCAAAATACTGTAATGCTTGGTTTGCAAAACCTTCCAGAGAAAATTATACGTGAATATATCCATTAGAGGCACCTTTTTTAAAAGCAGTAAACAAAGTAAAAACAATAGATCATGAGTTTGAGAAGGCTGCCTTTTGCAACTAAATTTGAATTTCATTAATCTGAATTATACACACAGATTAAAAGAAAATTTGGGGGGGGGGGGGGGGGGAGGGAGGGAACACTGTACAAAGACAGTGGACAAACCAGCAAGAGAGGAGGAAACTGTTTTAAAGTGACTTATATCCAACCTATATCAAAGGTATGTGTTAGCTAAGCCTGATGTCCATACCCCAAATGACTGAGTATAAATGTTTTTCATGTGGGTTTTTAATGTTAACTGACAAGGAAAGGCAGTCACTTAAAAGTATTTGACATTCATAAGCATCTGAAAGACTTTCTGTCATCTTCTATTTATCCATTCACTAGACTAGAAAAAGCTACAATGCTTTGTTTTTCTCCTTTTTCTCTCAGGGCATCAGTCAATGCATGTGTGCCAAAACCTCACTCTTCTCATCTATGCTTTGTGATGCCCATGTCTTCTGCTGCCTTTTCTCTCTCCACTGTCACCAAACAGCTTTGGTGTACCTGGGAATAGAAAGGAGTGCCACATCTGGAATTTTCAGCTCTCAGCCTGACCAGCTTACAGAGAGCATGCTCCTGCTCCTCCTGAAGGCAGTAGAACTGCCCCTTCCAGCAGGAGCAAAACCAGATTGGTTGCCAAGGGAAAGCTGCCACAAAGCTGCCACTGGGAGGGAGAGAGAAAAACAAGAAATATTAAATATAAGTGCAGATGTTTTCCTTGAGAGCCTTGTTTTTCTGACACAAAATAGGAAGCTTTTATTTAAGAACATATGTGTGGATAATGTTCCTCAAAGCATTGGATTTTGACAGTTGTGCACTTGGTTTGTATATTTTGACATGTAACAATCTAAGCAAAGGACGGGAACATGTGGGTTTTGAGTTTCATGTCAGTGTTGTTTGGTGTTGGTTTTCTTGCTTGTTTGTTGGGTTGTTTTTTTTTTTTTTTTCCCCGTTGCTTTTGTTTTTGGGTGCTTTTTTTTTTTTAAAAAAAAAAAAAAAAGAAAAAAGCATGAAACATTCTTCTTAGATGTCTGAACTAACTGTATGTTACATTTACATTTTTAATCATGCTCAAGACTATTAATGTAAAGATAGTAGTTCATCAGAATGATTTAAGGCTGTCCCAGGCTTAAGGAAGAATAAAATATACTTTAAGTGTGGGTTCTGCAGGGTGGAAGGAATTGAAGGCAACCTACAGGGAAAACAGCAGAAATATTTCCGAAGGCTTCTAGGTAATGTAACTGGCATAGGAAATACATAAGCACTTTGCGTTTGTTACCTCTGACCAAATAAAGAGACTTCTCATTGTCAGTGCTTCTTTGATCCTTTTAAGTTGGTCTCCTGGTTAACACAAGCTTATGAGTCTGCCTGTCTCTTGCTACTGGTAACTACTGAATGTATATTATCTAAATTTAATCGTTTAATCATCTTGCAGAGAATGCTTAGGATGCGTTTGTCTCAGAAAGTTTCAGGGAAGTAGGCAGTCCAACAAATGTTGCTCTAACAGGAAGAGAGGGGAGGGAAGGTCAGATTAGCCACTGGAAAATTACTATCGGAAAGATTTGGGGGAATCAGCCAACACATGCATGTGCACACCTCTTCAAAGGATCATAGTATGACTTGATTTGGAAGGGACCTCAAGGATCATCAAGTTCCAACCGCCTAGCCACAGGCAGGGCTGACAATCACTTGATCAAGTGCTAGATCAGATTGCCCAGGACCTCATCCAACCTGGCCTTAAACACCTCCAGGAGTGGGGCACCCGCAATCTCTCTGGGTAGTCTGTTCCAGCACCTCATCACTCTTAGTGGAAAAACTTCCCCCTGACATCTAAACTAAATCTCCCTCCCTTTAGTTTAAAACCATTCCCCTTTGTCCTATCACTATCTACCCATGTAAAAAGATTATTTCCCTCATGTTTATAAACTTCCTCTAAATACTGAAAGGCTATAATGAGATCTCCCTGCAGCCTTCTCTTTTTCAAGCTGAACAAGCCCAGTTTCTTCAGCCTATCTTCATAGCAGAGGTACTCCAGCCCTTGGACCATCCCTCTGGTCCCTTTGTACCTTACTGTATGAAAGGACACAAGCACAGTTCATGAAAACCTACCTAACAGTCTTTCCTGTGCTGTCCAAGGTTGTGTTTTTGTTTTTTTGTTGTTTTGTTTGTTTGTTTGTTTGTTTTAGGATTTTATTTTAGTTTGAATAGTCCTATTTTTCAGTAGTTTACTACTTGCAGTTAGGGAAAGAGAGACAGGATGAGATGAGTTCTTCTCCCCCTTCTGTCAGAAGAGAAAATTAGAGTGCTACAGGATTCCACAGTATGGTTCTTTGCATAATGTTGCTGTTTCTTTCCTTGCTTTCTTCTTCTATGGGCTTTCATAACTTCCTTTAGAAGTAGAATAATGTGCAACCTGAACTATTCAACTGCAAGATTGCACACGCAAGCAGGTGACACTGGTGAAGGATGCAGGGGATGTGGATGGTCATTTTCATGTTTCCAGTCATGCTAACAGTTGCAGTTTCTGAGGAATGGCTCTGCAGTAAGGTGTGCCAGTGCCAGTTTTCTGAAGCAGATCTGTCTGTGGTTGCTGGTGGTTCAAGAGAAAGAACAGAAGGCAAACCAATAGACTCTCTTCCAGCTGTTGCTATAAAAATGGGAAAAAATCCTAAACATAATGTGGTTTCCTTCTGGGATGTCTCATGTCAGCGTGACAGCAGTGGTGTTAATAACACAAGCAACATTCTAACAGCCAGTCACACTTTTCACGCATTCTTCTTCCTAGCTCTTACAGTGTGTGTAAGTACACAAAAGGTGTGCAGCAACATGCAGCAGGTTGGACCCATGTAACCAATCTGTATAAGCAGTTTGCTTGTGTAACGCTATGTATGCTTGTGGTTGCATTGTGCCTTATATTTTTAGTTTTGGCTTCAGTCTAAGCATAGTGCACTGGACCTGGGAAAAACAGGAGTCTAACAATAGAAGTGCTGCTGGCGACTCTGCTGTGGTTGCATACGATGCTGTTTTAATACTTAGCTGATATTCAGCAGCTTTCAGTCTTGGGTTGAAGAGATCTGATTGAAAATCAGATAGAGACGTATATGGAGAATTCCAAGATCCTCCGTTGCCTTGAAGTTAAGTGGAGTGGGCACTTGATTATTATGAAGGCTAGAATTGGATTGAAGAATCATACTTAGAGGTGTAATAGAGCTCAGAAAGTGCCAGACCTTGGAAGTACCTAGCCCTTGATTGTAGCAGCTGGAAGTGATTTAACAAGTACTTGAGGTGACAGAATCAAATGCTTTATGTGATGAATGGGCTGTTTCAATATAGCAAATGATTTTGCTCTTTAAAAATCAGAATTAAACAGTTTGTTTTTTGTGAGGAGTGAGATCATGGTGAATTATATGCGTGCACGTGCCCAGAGACATAGTATTTCATGTTAAGCTTGTCTTTATAATAATATGTTCACTTATTTTTGAATTTATTGCTGTGCACTGGCCCTTCTCCTTAGGGTAAAAAATACAGTCTGAGTGTGTGTTTTATGCATGATGGTATCCTAAGAGGCTGAAATTGAATGACCTAAGTACATCCAGCTCCTTTACTTAATGATTTACTAAGCTAATACATTTTTCATTTTATAATATGTCAATTCCAAGAGACAAATAACTTCAGATATCTACCGCATAATACTTGGCTATTTGGTGTCCAGGTGGCTCTGTACAAAAGTGGATGCAGACTAGAGAGGGATTCATGGAATTTTTTTCATCTAGCTAATGCCCCCTAGTCTAGCCACTGACAGTGCTTGTCACATGGCTTACTTAATGCTGTCACATCTATTACTCCAATTGAAATGTAAAAACAAATCTTGAAGGAAATTCTACCCCACCTGACACTCCTGTTACACAGCAGAAATACTCAATTTCTTCGGTCGCTGTGGCCAAGACTGTAGTCATTTCTTACTATAGAAGAAAATTCCCCACCTGAACCTTTCTTAAAAATGAAGTCAAACTTGATTCTACAGCTGTTTAGTGAGCAGAACAGTTAGTTGTAATGTTATAATGTTAAGCTTTCCTGTATTTTTGTATAGGAAAGGAAATACATGAAATCAATCTTTAGTCTTGGACTTCGTACTGACCAGAACGATTTAGACTTTATGAGTGCTGAAGCACCTCTCCTATGAAGAAAGACTGAGGGAACTGAGTTTGTTCACTCTGGAGAAGAAAAGGCTTTGCTGAGACACAGTGAGACCTCACTGCAGCCTTCCAGTACTTGAAAGAAGCTTACGAACAGGAGGGATACTAAATTTTTACATTGTCTGGTAGTGATCAGACAAGGGAGAATGATTTTAAACTAAAAGAGAGGAGATTTAGATTAGATATTAAGAGGAAATTCTTAGTGGGTGCTGAGGTGCTGGAATGGGTTTCCCATTGAAGCTGTGGATGCCCCATTCCTGTAGGCACTCAGGGCCAGGTTGGATGGGACCCAGGAAGCCTGATCTAGTAGGTGACAATGCTACCCACGGCAGAGTTGGAACTAGATGGGCTTTAATGTCTCTTCCAGCTCAAGTCACTCTGAGATTTTATGATTCTCTGTCTTTTATTGCTCCGCTGTTGCTGAACTGAAGCTTTTAATACACTGGGTAATGAATACAACCAATCCCAAAAGACAAACAAAAAAGAGACTGCATTTGTAGGATCATTGCTTTAACATATCAACTAAGGGAGCACCTTTGGGTGTCAAGGATGATGTTGTATTGAAGATGAGCTGCATGTACACAATTTATTCCCTTCCCATTTGTGGTTTCTGATCTCTCATGAACTCAAAGAGGATTGTAGAAGGCTAGAGTTTCTTGTAAGGCATATGACTAGTTGCTTCAGAAACAACCAGTTGGCAGTGAATGAGCTTCATTTCTCCCTTTGCTTTGTCTATTCAGAAATTAGATGCTGACCTTTGAGAAGACTGGCATCCTGCATTTGGATGGACCATGGCCTGGATTCACAAATGTTTGGTGGTGTTTCCTGCTTCTGTCTTTCAGGCTTTGTGTTGCCTTCTGACCTAAGTACTGCAATTGTCTGTAGATTTGAGGTTTTGATGCAGAGCTGGTACTGAAGCATCTCTGATTTGACTATTTCTCACATCAAGTATGAAGATAAACAGTATTTCCCTTTAAATCATGCATTATCTCTTGACCTCTGAAAGAAACACCTTATGCATAGAGGGGGTCAATTATTGACTGTTTGATAGGGTAAGGTCTGCAGCCTTGCACTGGAGCACCCATTCACTCAACCTCTTCCCTTTTTTCTAGAGGATGCTAACTCCACTACTTTTCTTTCATTATTTGTTTTCGCATCCCAAACATGCCTGTTTTTACAACCAGAAAGCCAATGCATTTCAGGTAACAGTAGCTTCAAATACCGAAGAGCAGAGCATCTCCTAAGAAATAAGGTGTTATAGAATGCTTAAGGATGTAAGGAATTTTAGCAAGTTAGCAACATCCCTCATCAGGGCTGGGCAAACTTCAGCATTATGGCAAAAATTCAGATATCAAAAAGTCTGGGCCACTCTGATGCTAGGAAGCTGTTGGTTTAAGTTAATGAATGCTGTCAGTGGTGGCATATTCATAGGTGCTACATTTTGGCATCTAAAAAACGTATGTTGTTACTTTTTTTCCAGAACTGAAAAACAGGTTTAAAATGGATATTTTTTTCTTCAGGGATATTTACATAATTATACAGAGTATGAGTGTTAATGAAGAGCTAGTAATAAAACTGGATGAATTAGCATGACTGAGTGACTTAACGCAATCCTGTTGATCATGGAGTTAGGGATGGCTTACATTTTGCCAGACCTTTTTAATTTTTTTTAAAGTAATCTCTTGCATTTGCACATTTGAATTTGAACTTTCATTAATTATAGCTTTATTTATTTCATGAACATGAAACATCATCGCTTCATTGACTTAAGTGTTTACATCAGTAGAACACCTATTCTAAAATATGTGCACCTGACAAAATTGTTAATGAACAGTTCACCATCACCCCCAATGTGAGTACATTTTAGAGTCACTCCAGCTAAAGGAAGTTACATTTTTCCTTTTCCTAATACTCTGAACATTTTTTGTTTTTATATGCTTTTAAATTGCAGATGTGGCAAAGTATATGGAAAAGAACAATGTATGTAGAAGGAGGGTACTCCTTTAATAATAACATTATTCCTCCTTCATCTTCTCTCCTAGTACTGTTTGTTACTGTGACCTCCTCCCTGACACAGCCATTT